GCAATAACTAAATCAGCATACTATCATCTCAAAAACATTGCAAGAATTAGATGTTTTGTTTCCAGTCAAGACTTGGAGAAACTTGTACCCTGTTGCATTCCCAAGAAGACCATTAGACAGCTGCAGCTCATCCAGAACACTGCTGCCAGGATTCTGACTAGAACCAGAAAATCTTAGCATATCACACAAGTCCTCAGGGCCCGGTTGCATGAAAGTCCTTAAGTAATTTGACTTAGGGGTATCCCTGAGGTGGGGGAAATTCCTGAGGTAAGGGATTTCTTTAGGAGCGTTGCTACAAATGTCTTAACTGTCACCCTTACCTAAGTGTTTATACTAAGCGTTTCACGGTAGTTTCTGGCAACATACGGCAATGGGCACCGCGGTTACTATAGTTACTACATCTCACAATAAACAGAACATAAAGAAATGCAAACCTAGCCAACTAAAACACAGACAAACATTAAATAAACATGAGCGCTGCCCATTTCTGCACTGCTTTGTGTACAGTTGTTATCGAGGAAACCGCTTTTTTCTGCAGTGAAAGCACCTCCTGCTGACCAATGATGGAAATTTACCAAATGTGAAAATTAACCCATGTTTTGACGCTGCAAACACGCAGAGTTGTAAATGTGAACAGGTGGATCGGCAAGATAATGCATTATAAAAATCACAACAATTAAGACAAATTATATTTATATTGTTATTTAATTGATGTAATAATTTATTAATAATATTTGTTTAAATTGATATCATAATTGATACAACTCATCCATTAACTTAAATTTATATTTAAAAAATTGTTTTGTGCAAACCTATATGTTATGCTTTTTACAGTCATTTTACAGTTTAATATGTTACCATAGTCGTTGCCCTACTGCGCTCATATATGATATTTTATTTGTGCAGGCCTTAAAGAATATCTGAAGTCTTACATTTGAGTTTAAAAATCCTGCAGATACTGAGTTTAAGATGATTTAAGGGAGCTCTTTTGGTCCCTTAAATTTGTTAAGGTGAAATGGGTACTAAGGACTTTGTAGCAACACTTAAGGGAACATTTAAATAATTAAGGGGAATACTTAATGGCAGCCTAAGGTTCCTTAAGTTGACCCTTAGGTTTTTTTCTTGCAACCCAAGTTTCACTAAGGGCTCCCTTAACCTTAAAACTAAGGGATTTCTTAGCATTAGGGCTTTCATGCAACCAGGCCCAGGTCCTTACACTGGCTTCCAGTTATATTTAGGATTGATTTTAAAGTACTTTTAAATATAAATCACTCAATGGCCTAGGACCTAAATACATTGCAGACATGCTCACTGAATATAAACCTAACAGACCACTCAGATCATTAGGATCGAGTCAGTTAGAAATACCAAGGGATCACACTAAACAAGGGGAATCCGTTTTTAGCTATTTTGCCGCCCGCAATTGGAACCAGTTTCCAGAAGAGATCAGATGTGCTAAAACATTAGCCACATTTAAATCCAGACTCAGAACTCATCTGTCTAGCTGTGCATTTATTGAATGAGCACTGTGCGATGTCCAAACTGATTGCACTGTATTTTATGCAATCCGAACTGATTGCACTGTATTTTATGTATAATCATTTCTATTTTTAACTGTCTTAAATTAATTTTAAATCATTTTTAAATCATTTTCAAAGTTTTTAAATTCCTTGTTTTATTTTTGTGATAATTTTTTTATGATTATTTTACTTTATTTTATGTAAAGCACTTTGAATTTCCATTGTGTACGAAATGTGCTATATAAATAAACTTGCCTTGCCTTGTCATTATATCTCCTCTCAGACTCAATAACAAACTACAGACACTTCAACTACAATTCACATTCTGTCATTGTTCTCTACAGGTTGAGGGATTGTGGCGTCACAGATGAAGGTTGTGCTGCTCTGGCTTCAGCTCTGAGATCAAACCCCTCACACATGAGACAACTGAATCTGTCATTGAATAAACTAGGAGAATCTAGTAGGACGTTACTCTCTGATCTGAGGATGGATCCACATTATAAACTGGAGACATTATACTGTTGTGAGTGTTTGTTTATTTAAAGTTTCTAAATTGAGTAACAGACCTCCTGTGTGTGTGATTGGAGAATATAAAACAATACTTAAGCATCACTTAAGTCTCTGTACTTTAAACTGTGTTTAATTCTGTGATGTGACTGGTCTATGAATAAATTCATATTTTAATCTCTGACAGTCTCTAAGTGATAGTAGTTGTTGATCATGTACTGTTATTAATCTATGATCAGTTGTTCATTCATATCTCTGGTTGTAATATGAATATACTGTGTGTTTTCTAAAATGGATCTGCTGATGCAATGTGGCAGCAGTAATGTCTCATACTCATATATGTCTGTCTGTGTGTTTTATTGTAGGACTCTCAGTATTTAGACATCGGTACAGTTTCCTCAGGATCAGCTGATGGTGAATAAGGAGCCGCTACAGAGACGTCACAGGCACACAATCAACACAGACTGCGTGATGGGGACATCAAAAACTTTAGGGATGTTCATTTTGGTTCATTAAATTAAATTCAGGAATTAAAAATTACATTATGGCATTTCTTCACTAGATGCTTTTTAAGAACTTTTTCACTATAATGTTTATGAGTAGTTTAATGTAAAACATTGTCATGAATTTGCTGTACTCCCATTTGTAAAAGACAAATTCATTGTTTTATACATATAGTAGAAAACAGGTTTAGGTTGACAGAAAGACTCGTCTGATGTAATCTAGAGATGACAGACTGAAGATGTGTGATATGAGATCACAGCCTTTTATCGCCAAACTGATTAAAAAGGGTTGCCCAACTTTATAGAGACTTTAAAGAGTCATTACTCATTCAAAACTCGCATAAACACTGGCAGTTTATAGAATATTTCATTTCCCAACAACACTGAATGTCCACTTCAGAAACAGACTTGATTCCAGATGCATTTAAACCATATTTTCTCCTAACGCAATTAATTATTATTGCATGTATTGCCTATTGCCATAAACATAAGAAAACATTTGATTTTGTTAGTAATATTTCCAGATGAACACTAGCTGGACTGAAGCAGCTCGGCTTTACTTGATTCTCCTTCAATCATTTTTTAAAAAAGTCAGTGAGTCTCAAATCTGATCATTAGGGCTGTGTATCACCAGCAAAGTCACGATATCCCGAAACTGCACTGAATTTCACTTCAGCAGAATTTAGTAAAACAGTTTATTAAACATTGCATACTATTGTCACGGTCCAGGTGTGTGGAGGCAGGCAGGATGACGAGAACGACAAGGATACAAATTAAGGATCTTTAATGTAGCGACAACAAGGCAGAGACACACACACTCGGGGTAACATTCATAACCGACAAACTAGAACACAAGAGACAGGAACAGATATAGGGCAGTTAACAAGGGACAGACAGGTGAGCACAATGAGGTGATTAACTAATAATTAGACGGGCTAAACCAACACAAGGGGAAGAAACCACAACAAACAGTCCACAGGGGTGTTACATTACTCCCCCCCTCCCGGAAGGTGCGTTCTCGCACCGTAGAAACCGAGAGAGGGGCGGAGGGGGACAAGGCAGTGGATGTGAGATGGTGACAGGGGAAGGCAAAGGGCTGGCAGGCAGAGCAGACAGGTGGAGGTTTCGGCGGAGGACGGACCTCCAGGAGAAGGACGGCTAACAGAGTCCAGGGAGGTGACGATGGAGGCAGGAGCCAGGGAGACGACAGGAGTTAACCGGAGCAGGAGGAGCCAGGTGGGACCCTGGCCACAGCTATAATAGCGGCCCACGGTGGAGCCGACAGAGGGAGGAGCCATGGAGGAGGAATGTCCACCGACTCCAGGGGGTCGACCAACGGAGGCGGAGCAGGTGGAGGAGGAGCCCGAGGCGGAGACGGAGAGCCAACAAGCCAGGGGGATGCCGAGGATCCGGGGGGCCAGGGTGGAGCCGAGGGCTCTGGC